TTCCCCCTCCTCCCAGACAAATCCACCCCTTGCTGAAATCATCCCTCCCAGCAAAATTTGTTGACCGCCTCCCCCATCACCCTCCCCCAATCACCCCCCTAGCACAAATCCTCTGTCTCTCAATTTTCCCCTCTAAGCACAAATCCTCTTTCCCCCACTCCAAAGCCTCCTCCCCCCAGCACAAATCCCCATCAAATTTCCCCTCCTAGCACAAAAACCCCCTAATCTTGAATCATCCCTTCTAGCACAACCCCCCCAAATCCTCCTCCTAGGACAAATCCTCTTCCTCATCCCCCTCCCAACACAAATCTTCCAAATGACCATTCCAGCACCCCCTCTTAAGTTCCCCCTCCCAGAACAATTCGCACTCCTGCCGTCCCCTAAAGTTCTCCTCCCAAGACAAATTTCCTCCCCCCCAATCTCCTTGCAGTGCCCCCCCCCCACTTGATATACCGCAGTGCTCAGGACAGCCACCCCTCCTGCCCATCCCTTGTCCTGGTCCTACAGGTGAGTGGACAAAGAAACATCAAAAAGTTCATCATACTATATCCCTATATATATACTGTATATATATATATATATATATCAGGGACGGACTGAGCATTTGGAAACCCAGGTACTGCCCGAGGGCCCGGGGTCAGTAGGGGGCACCATGAGATGCCCCTGGTACCTTTTTCATTGGCTTTTTTGAGTTTGGGCAAGGACACAGGGGCCCCATGATTCCCTATTGCCCGGGGGCCCCATGAGTTGTCAGTCTGCCCCTGCTATATATATATATATATATATATATATATATATATAATATATATAATGATCAAATTGTCCACATATGTAAGTATAAAACTGCAAAAGAAATTTGGAAGAAGCCACAGAAAGGTAATGAAAGGTCACCACATGCTGGGCTATATAGGAGAAGAAATGAAATAGTTTTGCAAACACTTGTTACAGCACTTGATGCTGACCCAGATGACAAGCTTACCCTGGAATATGTTAATGGAAAGCTTGTGGATAAGTATAAGTGAAACTAAAAGTGCAAACAATGAAATGCTCCTACAGCAGAACCAACCAATCAGAACCAACAACCACGATAATAGTAATAGGTTGAGTGAAACACATGACTGTTTTGTGCGCAAAAAGAATTTGGGAATCTAAAATAAATCAGTAAAAAAAGACAAATTAAACAACAAAAGACCAAAAAAGTTAAAGAAAAAAGTAGAAAATGCTTCAGATACTGAGTGTGCCTTACATTCCAAAGAGGTGCCATATCCACCTGGTGCATTAACTCAGTTTTATCAAAGCAAGACAATAGGAATTACAACAGCTATGGCCTTTGAATGAATAAAGAAAAGTAATCATCACTGCTCTGGTTGTAGTTCAGGCACTGCTGACTATCTATCCCAAACAGTGACCAGAAATACCTATCAATGATGTACTATATATTCCTACTCCTGTTCCTGCTCTTGAAAGTAATCTCTTGTCAATGAAAAAAGTTCAACAAGCATGTAGTGACAATCAGAGGTAACAGCTGTATTTTCACAAAAGAAAAAAAAAATCACAGATGAACTGTATCAGCTGAAGTGCAGTAAAGTTGTTAACACTGTCAAATAAAGAAAAACATTTGAACTGTATTCACATCTGGAACTGTTGTACAGGAACCCTTTTCCAAAATATAGCAATGGAAAGTAGAACTACAGGTAAACCTTTTTTTTTTTCATTTTTGATAGGGTAAGGGAGGGGTATAACCCCTGTAAGGTTTTTTTGTGTCAGATTTCCCTTCACTTCCTGTCCCACAGTCAAAACAGGAAGTCAAAGGAAATCTCTCCAAAGTAAGGGCAACCCCGTTTGTAACCACGGTCACCAGAACTAGAACAATGGAACATTTCTACTCTAATACTGTTCTGAGGACAACCCAGAATTTGAGATTTTCTTTCACTTTCAGTGATAATGGTAAACATAGAGACAAATAGAGAGGGTGAATCTCCCTAAAAGAGGCACAGACAGCAGTGAAAACCTGACATGTGTCCTAATCCCTCTCTACTCTGTCCAAATCTAAAATGTTTTGTCCTATGAAATCTCAGACTTAAGGGAAGAAACAATATTTTCTAACATTCATATTGGCTACTCAAAGTATATTGTGTTCTACATGTTACACAGCCAAGATCACATACCAAATATACTTGCACAATAACATGCACAGGTAAGCCACATATTTGGGAAAATGCCTAAAATAATTTGCAGACATAATGGCACAGAGTACATAACTGGTGTTGTAGAGAGAATGCAATCAATATACTGGGAAGAGGTATTTGTTACATTCTACTACCTCCAAAACTGCTGTACCGCTTACCCGGAAAAGCAACAGAGAAAACTTAATATTAGCTAAAGAAAGCTGCAGTGAGTCTCAACAGGATAACAGAATTCTGCATCCAGGTACCAATAAAAAACAAACAGCAGAAGTGAAATTTCTAATGTGTTCAAAGTCTCATGGAGTTATACTGTCAATATCGCCTGAAAAACAAGCTGAGCAAAAAGCTCCACCAGTACTGCATGAAAAGGAACAGAACATCAATCACATTGAAATTGAAGTCACTTATGTATCCTCTGAAAAGGAAGAAGCTAAACAGCCTACAACCTTAGTCAGAAAATATGTGAGATCCAATAAAGGATTCCAATAAGGGCATCTCTGCTAGATGCTTTTAATATATGGTTCACATAGCTCCACAGCCTAGACCAGCATCATGGGCAGAAATGCAAAAGTTACTTGTTCATAAAAAGCAAAACGTGTTTTAAATCTGCAGATGAAGAGAAGACCAACCAGCTCCAGACTATAATGTGTCTTTGCTTGCAACAACTATCAAAGCTAAAGTTTTAAGTACTCCGAAGGAAGATGGCACTTATATAGATATAGATCTTGAGCGGGGGGGGGGAGGGGGGTGTTTCGCTTGCTGTGCTGTACAGACGTAGGTGCAACAACCATTTTCATGTAATAGTGGTGTTGTGCATGTTAATTCTGGTGGAACTATATGTTTATGATGTAATTTCCTGCCTTTGTGTTCCTGTTGTTTTCCAATCAAATACAAAGAACTCTGCCATGTGTCCAGCAACTCCTTGACTGGTAAGACTCATATCGGCAGCAGCTGTCCAACAATAAAGAGCAGGTAAGGTGTTCTTCAATATATGAAGCTCCTGGTTGTTGATGCTAACCATTAGAGGCCACACCATTTGCACACCTCCAAAAACAGGTACACCACTTGCTGAAAATGTGGATTAGTATTCTAGAAATGGATTCTAGATTTCCCTGTGCCTGGACATGGATATATAATTCTGTCAGCATGGTTTGGGTCTTCCTACCATCTCTTCCCAATTGGATGTACTTGGCACAGCTCCTGATGCTTTCCTAGAGATCTGTGAAGCCCAATATACCTAAATTTCCTTGATTTAAAAGAGCATTAAGTCTATTATAAGCAGCACAGTGGCTAAATGGTTAACACTTCCACCTGGTAGTACTAGGGTCGTTGGTTCGATTCCCAACCACGGCACCACCTGCATGGAGTTTGCATGTTCTCCCTGTGCCTGCGTGGGTTTCCTCTGGGTACTCCGGTTTCCTCACACACTCCAAAGACATGCTGGCAGGTTAATTGATTCCTGTCCAAATTGTCCCTAGTATGAATGTAAGTTAGGGATCTTAGATTATACGCCTCTTGAGGGTTAGGGACTGTTGTGAATGTACAATATATATGTAAAGCGCTGCGTGAATTGACAACACTATATAAGTACCTAAAATTCCAAGTGTCTTCTAGACCATAACATTCCTCACCTGCAGCTTAACTGCATGCCTTGTACTAGAAGGTCTTCCCTACCACTGACCAGACCTCTTACTGGCCCTGCACTCCCCCTTAAGAAAACTTGAGAATAGCAACTGAGTACCCACATTCCTTTAAGAAAAGCAGTGTCTCTCCAATGTAAAAGGAAAGAACATCACATTTGAAGAGCATAACACACTCTCTTAAAGTGGAAACCTTCATTTTTTACTCTACTTTCAGCAGTGAAATGACAAAGAGCAAGATGTATCAAACACCTCCAGATCCCTCATACCGGACACCTTCCATCCCTGACAGAACATTTATATTTTGTCCATGAAGACAAAAGTAGAGGCTCCATTCACACTTTTGCGATTTCAGATGCCAGTTGAGTTGCACAGAATTGCATGACTATGGAAATTACATTGTTTTCATGTGCCCGTTCACATTAATGTAACTCAGCATGATTTGGAAAAAAGTTCCCGTACTACTTTGGTGAGATTCCAGCATGATTTTGGCCCTGTAAAATATGCAAACCACATCACCACAAGTTGCATCCAAGTTGCACCACATACAGTAATTGCACTGAAGATCAGATCAAAATTGGATCACAGCAGTGTGAACCTAACCTAAAGAGACAACCCCAACAAAGCCCTCACCCTCACCCTCACCAATTATTTGTCTTACTGCCAAATATGTGGACACATCCCTCAAAGTATTTTTATCAGGGGTCTCCAAACTTTTTAAACAAAGGGCCAGTTTACTGTCCTTCAGACTTTACAAGGGCCAGACTGCAGCCAGTGGGAGAAAGAAAAGGTCTCAACGTCAACATAAAAAAATAGTGGGAAAAATGTCCCTTTGTTTGGTGTCATTGGGAAGAATTCTGCCCCATCATTGATGTCATTGGACCCTATCATTTGTGTCACTGGGAGGTATTGTGTCTCATCATTGGTATCATTGGTGTCATTGGAAGGTGTTGTGCCCCATTCATTGGGGGGGGAATTATACCCAATTGGTATAAGTGGATGAAATAGTGCCCAAGGGCCAGATAAGAGCAAGCAAAGCATATGGCCCCCTGGCCGCAGTTTGGAGACCACTGATTTATATGGTAAGATGGTAACATGCTATTTTAGAAAACCATAAGGATCTCTCTGGTTAAGGGAAGTAGTAGAGTGTCACAAGTATATTACAATATCTTACATTCCATTCAAAGCCTCCGATTACAATCCCACCAGCAGCTGCGGTACCTGCCAGACCAACAAAGTGCCCACTTCCGATGTTACTGGCAAAGAGGGATGCTCCAATCTGAAAACATAAAGAAAATAGCATTATACATTATTCTAAAAATATAAAGAGCTTTAGATTAAAGTATAACTAAAGGCATTATTTTTAGTTCTGGATAGAAAGCAGAGGGATTAGAATGCTTGTCAGTTTTCATTGCTGTCTGTGTCCCTCCTCTCTATTTGTCCTATTTACCATTATCATTGAATGTGAGAAAATCCCAAATTATGGGCTGCCCCCAGAAAAGTAATAGAGGAGAAATCTTCCAATGGGGACACTAGTTCTGGTGATGTGGGGGTCCTCAAGGAATTCTGTTAATTTTCAGGGATTTCCTGTCACTTCCTGTTTGGCTGTGGGACAGGAAGTGAAGGGAAATCTCTGTAATGGGACAGAGATGGTGAAATAAATCTGACAGGAGTTATAACCATACCTTATCATATCCAAAATGAAAACAAAAGTTCTGCCTATATATGTTCTAGTCACTCAAATGTCATAATCCTTATGTATAAATTTAACAATCTGGATTATCTACCTTTTTTTCTGAGCCTTTTGGATACAGGTCATATTATTATTATTATACAGGATTTATATGCGCCAACAGTTTACGCAGCGCTTTACAATATAAGGGAGACAGTACAATTACAATACATTTCAGTACAGAAGGAATAGGAGGGCTCTGCTCATGGAGCTTACAATCTAAAGGAAGGGGGAGGTGATACAAAAGGTGATAGCTGCGGGGGATGATCTGGCGGTGGTGATTCAAGTACAGTTCTTAGGTGGAGGTGGGGTAGGCTTCAATGAAGAAGTGAGTTTTCAAAGATCGCCTAAAGGCAGACAGGGTGGGAGCTGACCGGACATGCTGTGGTAGGGAGTCCCAGAGGATGGGAGAGGATCTGGAAAAGTCCTGGAGGCGAGCGTGGGAGGAGGTGATGAGGGAGCTGGAGAGGAAGATATCTTGGGAGGAGCGGAGTGAGCGATTTGGGCGGTATCTGTGGATGAGGTTGGTGATGTAGCTAGGGCCGTGTTGTGGAAGTCTTTGTAAGCTGTGGTTAGTATTTTGAATTTTATACGTTGGGTTAGTGGAAGCCAGTGGAGGGATTGGCAGAGAGGGGCAGCAGTCGTTGATCGGTTGGTAAGGTGTATGAGTCTAGCAGCAGCATTCATAATAGACTGAAGGGGGGATAGCCTGTGTAACGGTAGACCAGTGAGGAGGGAGTTGCAGTAATCGAGGCGGGATATAACCAAGGCGTGGATAAGTTGTTTTGTGGTGCCGTTGGTCAGGAAGGGGCGGATTTTGGAAATGTTCCAGAGGTTGAGGCGGCAGGATTTAGCCAGTGAGAGGATGTGGGTCCCAAAGGAGAGGTCAGAGTCTAGGATTACGCCTAGCACCTTGGCATGAGGGAAAGGACCAATGGTTGTGCTGTTGATTTAATGGTAAAGTCGTGAGTGGGGGATCAGGGAGGAGGAAATATTACAAGCTCAGTTTTTGAAAGATTGAGTTTGAGGTAGTGATGTGACATCCATGCTGATATGTCGCTTAGTAGATTTGTGATATGTGAGGAGATTGAGGGGGTGAGCTGGGGAGTGGAGAGATAGATTTGAGTGTCATCAGCATAGAGGTGGTATTGGAAGCCATGGGAGGTTATCAGTTGGCCCAGGGAGGAGGTATAGAGAGAGAAAAGGAGGGGTCCAAGAACAGAACCTTGGGGTACCCCAACCGAAAGAGGAAGCGGAGCGGAGGAGGAGGAGTTGTATGTGACACTGAAAGTGCGCTGAGAAATGGGAGGAGAACCAGGAGAAAGCAGAGTCATGGAGGCCGATGGAGTGGAGTTTACTGAGGAGGAGCGGGTGGTCGACTGTGTCAAAGGCAGCGGAAAGGTCAAGGAGTATGAGTATGGAGTTATGGCCATTGGTTTTAGGAGTAAGTAGGTCGTTAGTGAGTTTTAGTAGGGCAGTTTCTGTGGAATGTTGTGCGCAGAAGCCAGACTGTCAGGGATCAAGAAGGTTGTTATCGGTAAGGTAGCATTTCATACGGTTGTGAACAAGGCGCTCAAGAAGCTTGGAGGCAAACGGGAGCAGGGAGATGGGTGTTTAAGTTATTCAAACAGGTGGGGTCCAGTGAGGAATTTTTTGAGGATGGGGGTAGCCAGTGCATGTTTGAGTGGGGAGGGAAAGGTGCCCATGGAGAGTGAGAGGTTGAAAATGAGGGTTAGAGAGTTTAGGATAGAGCAGGAAGGAGGCTGAAACAGTCGTGAGGGGACAGGATCCAGGGGACAGGTGGTGAAGTGGGCCTTGGAAATGAGTTTGGTAATTTCCTTGGTGGTAACAGGGTCAAAGGAGGAGAGTGTAGAGTTTGGTGCTGAGCCTGGTATGTTGGTTAGAAGAGGAAGCCTGACACTGGAGATCTCATAACTAATTGTGTCGATCTTCTTCTTGAAGTGACTGGCAATCTCCTGTGCAGTAAGTAAGTTGGTGGGTGGAGGTAGTGGGGGGTGGAGTAAGGAATTAAGGGTAGAGAAGAGTTGACGAGGATTGGATGAGAGGGTCTTGATGAGAGTGTTATAGTAGGTTTGCTTAGCAGCGTGGAGGCTGGAGTTGTATTTGAGAAGAGCGGATTTGTAGAGGGTAAAGTTTTTCAGGGATTTATTTTTACGCCATGCTCGCTCAAGAGTGCGGCTGCGTCTCTTGAGACTTCTGGTGTCATCTGTTTGCCAGGGTTGTGACAGGCGAGGCCTGGTTCTGTGTGTAGAAAGAGGAGCAAGAGCGTCCAGGGAGGATGATAGATAGTTGTTGTAGGCAGATGTGGCCAGCTCTGGGCAGGACAGGGGTGCAATTTCATCATAGAGGCGCTCAGTAGCGGAGTGGAGAAGGTCAGGGCTGAGGTGATGAAGGTTTCTACAGGTAACGGTTTGCTGGTTGGAGACATGGGAGGTAGGAGGCAGGGAGAGTGTGAAGCTGATAAAGTTGTGGTCAGGGAGAGGAAAAGGGGTGTTAGAGTGGTTACAGGGGGTGCATAGGTGGGTGAATACAAAGACAAGGGTGTTGCCATTGGAGTAGGTGGAGGATTGTGACCATTGTGTTAGGTTAAAAGAGGAAGTTAGGTTGAGTAGTTGAGAGGTGGCAGGGGTGTGAACATTGACTGGGATGTTAAAGTCATATGACTGCTTATCCTTCTTCAGCCCATTATGGAATCTAAAAAATTGCAGTCAATTTATTTTTACCTTCTATTTTTTAATCTTGGCTAGAAACATAACATAACAACACAAACTCGAGACAACTGCATGTGTCAGTTTCTAATGACCAGAATGTGACCTGTATTCATGACCCCCAACCCTACCTGCAACTCAGTATAGGTGGGGGTGGGGGCTATAAGTAAATATTATAGATGAAAATGATCAAGGATGCTAAATATTCTTATATATCTATGTAGCACTACTCCTGTAGGAGCCTCAGGAATACTATCCAGGTTTCCCCACAAGCTTTGCCCCACAACCAGGCACACAGGCTCACTCACATGTTTCCTCCAATGACCAGTCTAGGGGTGTTTTTTTATTTTTTATTTTTGGAGAATGTGGATGGGGTTGATGGAATTAGGTGGCATACTCCAAAGACAAGAATTATGTACACTTCAGGACTTAGGTATTCTTCAGTACAAGTCTGTGCTTGTAGCAAACAGTAGACTTCAGCTTTAAAATGGTAGTATTAACCGTAACTTCCTTTCTTAGAGCCACAAGAGCAGAGTCCCTTTAAGTAAAAGATTATCTGGACAAAGCTCTTCAGGACACCAGCCGTTGTCCCCTTTAGCTAGATCCACAGCTGACTCTCTAGCACCAGAGGGGTGGCAAAAGCACAAGGGTCCCCAAGATCTTTCAGAGGCATCTGTACTCAATCAAGGCCCAAGGACAGCTGGTTGCCTCATTACAACTTCCAAGCAACACCTTCCTCTGGTGATAGCAGACCATGTCTTCAGCGGACAGCCCCCTCAGTCAGCTCTCTTTAGTTACAGGACCTCCACATCCAGGTCCTCAGGTCGCCCACCTAAGGCCTCACGACAACAGACATAGCAGCACTGCCTGGAAGGGCAGCGTGCCCTCTCCAGGATGGACAAATCCTCTCCAGGAAAAGACCCGAAGCCGAAGCGCAGTGTGCTCACCGAATATATACAGTCTCCCAGCATGCCATTAGAGCCTACCTCTTTGGGCTGTATCGATATTTATGCTGCCATCTGCACACCTCCACACCTATCATTCAGAAACTTCTCAAGCTCTCTGGATGCACAGGGAGCTATCAGACTGGCAGCAGATGAACACAGACCTGACTAACAGAATGCAGCTTCACTGAGTACAGGGAGCAAACTATGCTTTTACCTAACAAATAATCAGTCACACGGACTACAGTGTGGTAACTAAATGTACAATTTGCAATCTAAACACATACTAAATCTATCCATCTGAACCTAGCACCTATCTAGGAGGGTGCTACATGTATGTTTTTACACTGGAAATCTGTACATTTGCTGCACATGCTACAGATGAACTGTATACCCTAGATCAGCAGTCACTAAATGGTGGACCACGATCTGAGAATGGTCCCAGCAGTGCTCCCTTCCGGACCGCCAGCCCTCAATGACAGATCCACCGTTGAGCAGGGCAGTCATCATGGCAATATGACAACACAGTGTGCATCCCGGAGATAAGGGGGAAGTCAGGGGGGTCTGAACCCCCCCCCCCAGAGGAGAGTTGCCAACCATCCCTGCAGCCCTCGAAATTTCCACTCGCCCGAAAGTGGAAATAAGTTGGGGGCGATGAGCAGTGCCGGGAGTAGGGATGTGTGGGAGGGGGTGGCGGTGGAGGCAGTGAAAAGCAGCGATCTCCTGTACGGCTTTTAATAAATCAGCTGGAAGCCTCGGGAGGCAAAGGAGGAGAAGCGACTTCCAGCTGCTTTATTGAAAGCTAAACAGGAGATCGCTGCTTGTCACCACCCCCACCGCTGCAAAGAACATATCTGATGACTCAGTTTTATAT